TTACCTCACAGACGGCAAGGACCGTCCTCGAAAGAGTGTATTCGTAGGAGCCAGTGAACAAGCGCTCCGTCTGCAAATATTTGCTATCGTAATTGTCTGTAAATAAATATTGATGCCTAAATTAAAGAAAGTTTAGCAAGACTTTACAAAAAACATAGTTTTGGCTTGTTACAGTTTTTTTGGTGCTTCGGGCCATATGTTATCATCGGATCGAAAGCATAAAGATGTCGGGCATAAAGCATAAAGATGTTGTGGCATGAAGGCTCCGTTCATTTTGCGGCAGCGTCCACAAGCGTTTCCAGCGTCCGTCAGCGCCAGTGACTAGGGAAGTACATGTATCGGTCTAGCGTTGTTCACAATCGTCCACCACCGTCTACCAGCGTCTACCAGCTTCCAAAAGTGAAGAGTATGGGAAAGCGGGACGGACAGCTGATTAGGCGTGAAACTGCGGCGTGTGCAACCGCCCCGTCCTACTACATAATGCCGTACATTAAATTGCATGCTGTGGAATTTCCTCTGTGGAAACTCTTCGCGAGGTAAATTGCATGCTGTGGAATTTCCTCTGTGGAAACTCTTCGCGAGGTTGATATAGCACTTTATTCGGCTTACGCGCGCTTCGGCGAAACTGCTTTCGTCAGAGTCCGATCCTTTCAGGCTTTGATGAAGGCGGTTTCGCCGAAACGCGCGTACGCCGAGTACGTAAGTAGTATATCATCCCGAGAAGAGTTTCCGCAGAAGAAGTCCCATAGTGCCGTGGTTTATTGAGAGCCGTTGGCGACTTAATTTGCATAATTCTGTGCTTTAGCAGTTGTACGGTAGAGTAACACACTCCGCAATCCCACGATGCCTAATCCAGCGATCTCTACCCTCCTATTTCCCCGTACTCTCCACTCTTGGGCTGGTGGATGCTGACGTTCGCTAGATCGATATCCATACTTTACTAGTCGCTGGTGGGCGCTGCTAGGGCGTTGGTGGACGATGCCGCAAGGTATTAATGCAGCATAATTTGCCCACGAAAATCGAAGGGGCATGAGAAACCGGCTGAAACTTTGTCTAGAGGTGTAGTTCGATGGCCTGATCACGGATATCACATTCGTTTTGAGATTCGTTTTGAGCTCTGGCGCCAATTTGGCGCCAGCACTTTTTTCACCTAGTTGGCGCCGTGGCGCCAGATGGCGCCAGCGCCAAAAACAAATGTCGAAATCGTAGTCAGGACCTCAATCACTCCCATATGCAAGTTTTCATCGATTTTGGTGAAAAAAGTGGCTGCGCCAAATTGGCGCATAAATGGCGCCAGCGCTCAAAACGAATGTGATATTCGTGATCAGGGCATCGAATTACATCTATAGGAGACGTTTTAGCGAGAAAAAAAATTCGAGTTTTTGGGGTAGGAGTAGTTCAATAGTGCCATTATTTGTTACCCTACAATTTGAGCATTTGGATGGTTATAACCGTGTCCTTTATTTCCCTTCTTCGGAGTGGTGTGGTGTTTTCCGATTAGCGAGCTTGAATAGCCATTTTCAGTGACGCCATATTGTCGAGGTCTCCATCCTCGGGCCCAGTTCGTGAAGCAATCTCTGACATGTCTGCTCAAATTACTGACTTTGTGGATAATCGTGGTGTGATGGGAACGATGGTGACATCAGCCAATCTCTCGAGCAATTCACCGAACCCCTCTCATTACCTCAACGGCTCGTCGAGACTGCTATCCATGACCAATGAAGCGGATTTGAGCACATCCTTCGTTGCAGACGTGAGTGCCCCTCGAAACCGAGTTGTTTCATCCTTTTTATTTCAAGCATTCTAGTTCTTTTTAGGATAGTAAAGACTCATCAAAACATGACGTATGGCACAAGGTATAGTAATGGTGTCAATGTGATTAGTTTTGGTTGTATTCATCCTACATTTGTAGTATCACGCACTTTGGAATCTATCCTGGGCTTTGCACTTCCCTATCTCAGCGGGTTAAAGGGGGCTACCAACGTTTCTAGGTTCAAGCGGAAATGAAGTGCCTAATAAGCGCTGAGTTCTGATTATGTTCATCGAATCGGTTCCAAGCTGGGAATGGCTCCTGCCAATAATGGCTAGCCCGTCCTTTCCTCGTGGCTTCCAAAAAACTTCGAATCAATTTGTGAGCATGATGAAGCCGGGAAGACGATTAGTGGCAGTGGTCTATGGGAAATGGGTTCTTTTTTCATTGAAACTGACAGTTTCAGCTTGAGGCGACAATGTATCTGAAGGATGACATCAACTTACAGAACGAATTCATCGCCAATCTCTTGAAGGAACTTTCGTCATTGGATCCGCACAGGTTTGTAACGACTGAACGGTTTCTCCCAAACTCGCTATTGAAGGTGAAGCACAGGCTAAAATCAGTTTAACTGAGCCGGGTAGCCGGTTTTGACACTTTAATGGCACTATGTGAAATACCTGAACGACTTCGTTCTATTCATGAGATTCTGTTCACGATTCTTCCGTTCACGGTCGACGGGAGGTTCACAACCTCCATGATGGAGATGTGGAGAAATGACCTCAGAGGGTTGTGATTAAAGGCACGATAATTTGGTACTTGGTCCAAAATGGTAGCAGGGGCGCTATGTAGTGGGGAAAATGGCGAAAAAGCGAAGCGAACTTGTTAATAGCGCAAAAGAGGCTTTCTTGTACTCAACTCTAAAAGACGGATTTCGGACGAGTTTCCCCGTTGGCATCGTGCCAATAACCGCTACGGTAGATACGGCTAAATGTATGTACTCATACATCCATCCATCCATCCATCCATCCAATGCAGCCACTTCATATGAAATCCCTTCGTTTCATACTGTATTTCGCAAATGAAGCATACGAGCATCATCATCGGTTGGACATTTGTGCGCAGTGGGGTCGGTATGTTGCAGCTTGATATAGCGCTCTGGAGACACCTTCCTTAGAAAAAGCGCCACGCAGCGCCTGCTCAGGGGAGTCCTGGCGTATTAATCCTACATGTCTAGAGGATTCAACGTGCCAGTTCCTTTGAGGCTCTCAAGCCGCCCCTGGAGTTTCTATCTCTTTCACAATCGTTGGACTGTGATGCGATTTATTTCTGCGCCCCTCCTCTGAATGCAGCTACCGCACGGACTTTTATGTCATCATTACTGCAATGAAACTCTGGCACCAGGATACTAGAACTGGGGAACGAAATGTAATCAGACATCATCTTCACCGTATTCGCCGAGGCGCGAGTTGATGGTATGGACCGGGGTACCTGGAAAGGGGAAGACCGATATTTTCTTTGTAGACCCCGACTGAAGGTGAGCGCTGGCGGTTACATCAAGTAACTCGAGAAGAATATCCTCCCTACATGTGGTCGCCCGTACCTTCTTGGAGACCTTGTGCTGCTACAGGTTTGGGTGCCACCACATGGAATCAAAGGGTTTGGAAAAACTCCCGCCTACTTGGAATGGTAAGGGGGCCTTGAATCCTCAAGAAGGTAGAGAGATCAAAGTATGGGAGGGGTTACCTGACCTGTATCCCCTCAATTAACCCGGTTCGGGCGGAGTTCAATAGGGTGGTCTACGGTGGCGGAGAAATCAACGATCTCACTCAACTCCGGTACCCACTCACTTTCGCGCGGCTGAATCTCTCGATGGCGCTCCTCCAGAAGGCTGCGGCGGAGTAACATTATAGTATTTAATATGGTAGTAAAAATGTCCGATAAAAATTTAATAAAGTGTAACTTATAGCGCCTTGAAAGTCATGGAGGCAAAATGACTTTTTTTTGGCCCCCCTGTATATTGCAGGTTGGAAAAACTGCTTCTAAGGTCGGCATCCGTGTGATGCCATGGGTGAACCTTACACTGAGCGAACCAGATTTCTTTTTGCCGGCTGTTTTCCTCACAGGCGTGCCATAGTACCTCGTGGTCGAAATGACGAGCGCTATATCCGTAACCTTGCCATCGTGCGCCGCGCTTCTAACTCTCATGAGTAGTTACGGTTAGGGCAGCGGGGCGATTCTCGTGTAATTGTTGTTGGTGTGGGTGTGATTGTGGGGGACCCTCGTTTTATCTATTGGGGCACTAAAATAAGGTTGACGTTAGAAGGACGTGGGGGAGGTGGAAGTTCTTTGTTCCTATTACTTATCCTCAGCTCCGCAATTTTGTACGAAAGATACCGGTCGGAGCTGTGTTCTGCTGGAAGCTTGTTTATTTTCAAATCTGCCTTTTCGTAACGTGCTTCCATTCAGACGTAACGAACAGAATCATGCCTTGCAAACATTGCAACAAATGGTCAGCGAAGGTTCCCTGACGACGTGGGAGGAGAATTTCAAAACCATAATTCTGCACATCTTCAACGTATTGGCGGTGAACGACGTGACGTTGAAGCGAAATGCCTTGAAATTGCTCACAAAAATCTGGTGAGTGCTCTTTTCGGTCTCAGCAGCTTATGTCCTCGGGTTTTTAACGACATTGTATTTTCAGTGTTGCACAAGCTGTGAGTTTCTACGATCTTGCGGAAATGACGCTCTTCAAAGTGTTGGATTCGATTTCGGAGGAGGAAAATCCAGTGAGTGTCAGTTGGTAGACTCTAGTTTTAGTTTTAGCTTAGTTTTTTTTAATTATTTTTGTTGATGTTTGATAATCTGAGTGTGTGTCCTCTGGTTTTTAACCTCACTCTAAATCCATTTTTTTTTCAAATTTACTGCAAGATGTCCATTTCCCAGCTGCGTGATCCTCGAGAAGGATAACCTAAGAAATCCAGTAGTTTGAAAATATTCTTACGTGATGGTTTCACGTACTTTAAGGCATATGGCACATAACTTGGTACTTACTCCAAAATGATAGCAGGGGCTATGTAGTGGGGAAGAAAAGTGAAAGAGCGAAGTGAAACAGTCACGTGAGAATATTT